GGAATGGATGGTCATTGTTAACAATCATTAGGGATTCATTTAGTAGAAGGTTCATTTGTATCTATTTCCAAAAATTACCTTTAGAAATTTAAAAATGTTTAGTACCAAAACTTCTTCCTCTTTATTCAACGGATCTGGTGCCTAAATAAGTTACTCTTAGTTGAGTCAAATTGTACTTCTAACCCATCAAGGTTTGAATGATTTCCAAAACACCACGGTACTTGATTGAATTTTTTTTAAAGTCCATTTAATTAAGTGATTATGAAATTCATACTTCTTACTGAAAATTATTAAGAGTCTTTGATAGAGGGGTCATATAATAGCCTAGCTAAAATTGATTATATTCTCTACCTATTCCATTCCTTTTATGGTTAAATACTACACCTTTCGCTTTCCAATATTGCAAGTGATTATTCTTAGGTATGACACTACGAGATGAGTCGTGGGTTTGTCGTATTCTCATTTAGTCTTTGTTAACTTGAAAAGTATTTCTTCATGTGTTTAATTTTTAATTTGAGAGTGTCTACTTTAAAGATCCATCTTAATATATTTGTATAATATACAAATTTTATATTCTAATTTAAGAATAAGCAAACAATATGTGAGGGTTATTCACACTAATTGTTTTGTTATTAAAAAATATCGTCACAACTAATGACTAATACAGGTTTGGTTAGGTTAATTATGGTTATATGAATTTACTATTAGTCGTATTATATTTAGAAATTGTACTTTTAAGAAGGTTGGTTTATAGTATCTTGATCGAATATCGATCTTGTAGGATATTGGATTTACAATTGTCTTCTTTCCTTTTTTTTCATGATTGGTCATATTCACCAAACATGCTTTTATCAAGGATTGCAAAATTTAAGGTCTTTTCTATATGAGAGAGTAGAGAGGTCGGATACTCTCGTATTGGAGTCAGTCTGTAGTAATAGTAGGATTAATCATAGGGTTTCTATTATGCCTAATTCACTTATAGTGATTCTTAGATGGTTTAGAGAGAAATCTTTCATATGTGGTGGTTTATGGGTCCATACCATACTTCTGTTGCACCACTCTGAATAGTGTTTACTTTAAAGGTTTATCTGAGTGTATTGCATCATTTTTGTGTTACCTTTTGGTATAAGAGAACTGTATTATGAGTTATTATTATACTATTAATGATTTATTTAAAACATGTCCTCAGGATATCCTTTTCTCCCATGGAAATTTAATTTAGGAGGGATAAAGACTTTCAAAAGAAGAGTTTTAATTAGGCATACTCTAATTATCCGATATAAAAGTTTTCTGCCCATCAAGCATAGGATGATTTAATGCTTAAATGCTTATAAAGCAACATTATAACTCTTATTTGACATCTCAATAAGGATTTGGAATAGTTAGGGTATTCGCTCTTTATAAAGAAGATTCACAAGAAATTCTATATTTTATCAAAGTACCAAATAATTATTTGGTCTCCCAAGATACTTTCTTTTGAATCTAATTGTTTTAAGATTTCTTTTTCTTTTTGGTCTCTAGCAAATTTAGGAGAGGCTATTCCATCTCATGAGGAATCAATTGGAGGTAAATTACAAACC